GGGAGAGTGCAGTAGGTAAGGTGCTTGTCTATCACATTGCTAAGCTAGGTTCAATCCCTGGCACCAGACTCCCTGAGCACCTCCAGGAGTGAAGCCTGAACTCAGAGTCACAAGTAAGCCCTGAGTACTGCTGGATGTGGCCCAAATTACCCCTCCTACCATCACCCCCCTCCATGTATCTTATTTTAATTACTGTTCTTAGAACATCTGCTACTTGCAAGTAAATACATACAAACTTAAAACCAAAGCAAACAGTAACAATTGAAAATTAGTAAAATAAATAAAGGCCCTCCCGTTGTTCATCGATTTGCTCGAGCGGGCCCAGTAACGTCTCCATTGGAGATTTTGCTGTTACTGTGTTTGGCACATCGAATACATCACGGGTGGCTTGCCAGGCTCTGCCGTGTGGGTGAGATACTCTCGGTAGCTTGCCGGGCTCTCCGAGAGGGGCGGAGGAATCGAACTCGGGCCGGCCATGTTGGCTGCGTGCAAGGCAAACGCCCTACCGCTGTGCTAATATCTCCAAGTTATTTTAAGCCCAAGTTGTCTAAAATTCTTTCTTGAGTTTCAGATCCTGTTCCCTGCTTAGCATTGACGCAAGGGTATCAGAGATCTCCAAAACTCAGAACCAAACTCATTCTCTCACCTTGTACACTTTCATCTGCGTTTGCCCCACGATGTATTACTATCCACATGAACACAAAAATGGGTGCCTGGAAATCAGTTGGTCCCTGTCCTTGTTTTCCTATATCCCTCATGCAAGAATTCGGGTCCATTGGACCCTCCAATCGCCTCTCTGACTAGTTCCATTGTCACTGTTTGGAGTCACAAGCTCATCATCTCTCTCCAGGGATGTTATGAACCAGTGCTTTACTTGCCTTTATTATCATTTCTCTCAAAATCTTCTCCATTAGTTGTCAGCACAGTTCATCCAAAGCTCAACCTTGACTTTCTCAATCCCTTCTCTGAGATCCATTAAGTCTTTCCAACTGTGCTAAGGAAACAATGTTCAAAGTGTGGTCCCTGGACCAGCAGCATCAATATTCCTGGAAAACTTGTCAAAACTGCAGCTTCTTGGTTCTCTGTGTGAGTGTCTGCTGAATGAAACACTGTGGGTGGGGCCCAGCTTTATTCAAACCCTTTGGAGTGTCCCAACCCTTTGGATTAGGTGAAACCTGATGTGCAATGTCTTAAATCCACTGCAAGCCTAAGGTCATCAAGCACAATTTCCTTGGTGTAGTGGGTTGAAGATCATTTCCAACAATTCACATCTGTATTCAGATCCCCAGAATCTGAACTTATTTGAAAATAGGGTCTTCCAGGTATCAAAGTGGCACATCATGTGGCATGCTTGGAAGAGTAAAGGTTCAAATCTCGTGGGCCACTCCTCATTTCCTCAAGATAATGTACAGTGTAATATACAATTAATAAATGTCCATCATTTGCGTCATCGCCAAAGGCCTTAACAAGTTGACACCAGCTTGTGCCACTGATGGCTCACACTTGAATGTGGTTTTATTAACACTAATTGTATGTGTGGCATCAATTTGTTGTCTAGTTAGTTAGTCTAGTTATGCCATCATGGCCAGAGGAAACAGGGCAGACCAGCCAGCAGGAGCCAGGTCGCCCTTGTCGGGCCACTCCCTCATTGTACCCCTCCACTGAGTGATCTGGGTTTTTTTTTTTTTTTTGTCTTCAGAGTGCTTGTGGCATTTTCCCAGTCACACACGGCTCTTCTTCTGACAATGTACTTGACCGTGATAGCTATTTTCTACCTCTTAGAAAAGCTCAGCTTTTTATCTACTTGAGATAAGATACCCCTGAAGTTCAGATTGGGTGACAGTGTTAAAACTGTTGCCTTGCATGGGAGCTTTAAATAAGTAGGCTTGTCTTGACATGGGTCAGGTCTGAACAGGAAATGCCTCTTTGTCTCCTCTTCTGCTCTCAGCCAGGTTCCAGAGGATCCTCTTTCTGGGACAAAAGTTTTACTGATAACAGAGGTAGGGCTGCATGCTCTATCCTGACATCTGAAACAGTCCATCATGATTTTACCCCCCAAATCTATTCTAAAATAAATTGTTATGATTCATCATCAGCAAATGTTTGATTCATGTATCTAATTTAATTTAACTCATATAACCATATTATTGAGATTACACATGTTTTCTTGGGTGAACTGTACAACCCAGATTTATAAATGAAATAAATAAATGCAATGACAGACTTTAACCAAAGAATGGTTAGACTCTTGTCAGAATGCAGATTTTGTGGCTAGAGAGATATTATAAATTAAAGCACATGCCTTGCATGCAGCCAACCTGGGGTCAATCCCCAGTATCACATGGTCCCCTGAGGACCTAGAAGTCCCTCAGCAATGCTGGGATGGCTTGGGTCTTCTCCAAGATGTGGGTAGAACCCAAGCAGCACCACATTATTGGGCCGTTGCATTGAGCTGCAACCTGGCAGAGAATTCCTAGGACCACGCCCACTGACTTTCACCCCTTCATCTACAATAAATAAGTAAAATGCAGATTCTAATTCATTAGGTCTGGGTGGGCCCAACTGACATTTTGCATATGTCTGCAGGGAACAGAAATGCAGGTTCTTGTCCAGGGACACCATTTTAGGCTGTAATATGGCAGTACTTAAAACAAGTGCTTTTCAATTTTATGTATGTGGCTTGGAGCTTGTTCACATACCTGTCCACAGGACAGTTCTTACAGCCACCATGCAGATCACAGATTTACAACCTTACTGCACCTGTGAACCAGCACCACTGGGCCAAGCGTTGGAAACAACATCTTTAGAAAAACTCCTAAAGAGTTGTTGAAACTCCTACTAGTTCAGCAGCCTTGAAAATAAATTTCCAGAAAGCAAGAACTTCTTGAACTGGTGATTATTAGACTTCTTGAGTTGGTGATTATTTCCACATTGAGATGTGGCTCTCCTCAACCTTGTTCTTGCCACAATGCTGGGCTTGGAACCATAGAGCCACACTCAGACCAAAACCATCTCAGTGTTTATCTCTATTTTCCAGTGATTATCTTGATGAAACAACCCTCATGTTGAAAGAGAACAGAGGATTCACTAAGCTAAACCTAAGCAGAATCCTATGTTTATGCATAGAGCTCAATGTGTGCAAGCCTCTTCAGGCTAAGCAAACTTGTTGAAAGTTGTTTGATTGAGCAAATGATCATAACACACCAGCTCAGATAGTACTGCTCCAAATAGATTACTCACAGACACTAGATCTTCAGGTCAAAGAAGTCATCAATGAGAGTAAAAGAATTGGGGAAAGTACATGCTCTCTCTCTCTCTCTCTCTCTCTCTCTCTCTCTCTCTCTCTCTCTCACACACACACACACACACACACACACACATACACACAACACATATAATTTCTAGTTTTCAGAATTGGCCAAGAATCTAACTTAGTACCTTGAAAAATTTAACTTCCTTATCAATATTCAATTGACTAAAGTAAGGTTGGAAAATGTTGATCTGTGGATCCTGGTCTGTGGACATGTTCTTGGGAATTCACAAATTTCCTAGAAGACTTTTAAAATAGCATAATTGATTAGTACAAGACACAGTGGATCATCAGAATGACCAAGTGCTAGCATATGCCTTTATTTGTGTTTCTGTTTACGATCACATAGATATTACACCACCATACTTTATTTGTTGCGGGCTAGAACAGAGGAAAGTTTAATACAAAAATCATGCCTGCAGCTGGAAATATAGTACAAAGGGCTAGAATGAATGTTTTGTGTGTGGGACCCTGAGGTTGATCCCCAGCACTGTATAGTCTGTCAAGCATACCAGGAGTGACCTGCTAGCACTGAACTGGCTAATGCCCCGAGCACTGGTGGGTATGCACTTTCCCCATAGCTAAGAAAAGTATGGCTTTGAGCCAATAGAATATCCAACCATATCACAATGGGCCTTACAAGCAGAGGTGTCTCAGAAGGTTGAATAGAGATAATTAGAACAAGTCACCGTCCACATCATAACTTAAATGTGATGCAACTCAAAAGAAACCACATTACAGCAATCAGAACAATTTCTACATTGAATACAGCCATTTAATCAAGACAGCATTGTTTAGGGCAGTGGTTTTCAAATGCCAGTGCTGATCTGCAGGTGTAAGAAAGATCAAACACCAATGATCTGCAACACTAAATAAAAAACATACATTGGTACATCACTGACTTGTCTGTTATTATGTTTATTTCATTTATAAACATGTTTGGGTTGTACAGTTCATGGCAGCTCTTAGTACAATAGCCAAACTATGGAAGTAACCCAAGAGTTCAACGCAAATGAAAAATTAAGTCATGCTGTTTGCAGCAATTTAGATGGAAGTAGAGAGTGTCATGCTGAGAAAAATAGGGCAAAGACAGGATGATGTCATTCATCTGTAGTGCATAGAGAAGCAAATCAAAGCATGGAAAATATCAATTGATAACCAACCTCGGATACTAGAATGCAGACCTGAGAGTGCGAGGTTGGCAAGAGGGAGGAAAATGAATAGGCTGCCAGATAGTAACACATGAGTGTAAGTGGATGTTCTGGAACACTAAGGGAAGGGCCCCCTAGTGACACTATAGGCAGTAACAGTATGTACCAAAACCACAATTGTTGATTAACAAATAATGGGGAGGGATGGAACACTGGACTGCAGGTGATAGGGAGGTGAGACAGGGATGTCATTACTCTGTGGTGGTGGGAATGAGCAGTAGTTTTGGGCTTCAATACCAGTTGTAAGCAGTATAACTAACATATTCCGGGGGAAGGAGTGATGTGTGTGTGTGTGTGTGTGTGTGTGTGTGTGTGTGTGTGTGTGTGTGTAGATTTTCCTGCTTAGTAGTAATGCCTGAGAATGACATTTTCAGGCTGCAGGTTGTCATGGGTCTGAAATGACAAGTGATTGGTGATTTGCAGGACCGGTGAGAGCTCCTGGTGATACCTGGAAGTTGGAGGAGAAAAGCAATGCTTACAGGCTGCTGGGTCTTTGGCTCTCCTCTACCTGCCAGGTGGCTGTGTGGCTGCACGACTGCTGAGGGTTGGGTGTCCCCTTTGGGCAGCTGCTGACTGCCTTCAGAGAAGGTGTAAGACTGGCTCTGAGGATTCGAAAAAGAAATACAGAAAAATGCTAGACCACTCACAATAGCCTGGTGCTCCAGTGGAATTGATTTTAAAATATCTTCTTAAATTGCTAATGTATGTATCAGTGATGATTTGGGGGATCCTTTGCATCTATCTGAAATATTTTTAAAGTGGGTTTCTGGGCCGGGAGAGATAGCACAGGAATCAAGGTGCTTCCCTAGCATTCAGCTGACCTCAGATCAACCCTGGGCACCTCATATGGTCCCCCTGAAGGACCACTGGAGTGATTCCTGAGCAGAGCCAAGAGTAAGCCCTGAGCATAGCCAGGTATGGTTGAACCCCTTTCCCTGCCCCAGCCCAAAGTGGGGTTCTGCTTCTCAGAAAGATATGTTAAGAAAAAGCTTGAGAGTCTTGGTTATTACAGATGGTGTTTTCCAAGAAGGCCTTTTCAAGACACTTATAAATCTGAAACCATCTGAGTGTGAGTTTAATTTCTAGCAAAAGAAAAACTCTGATAAACAAAATCATTGTTTACAGAAAAAAAATAGAGTTGTGTTCTCTTTGTTCCTAGTGTCCACATACAATAAATTATTCTCTCCATGGGAAACAACCGTAGGGGCAGTAAAACCTGATTATAAATAATTATTGCAACAGCTTTCGACATATGTTTTTCAATGGAAAAATAATTAAGATAGAACTTTGACCTGCCTTTTACTTCCTTACTTCCAAACAGTTGGGTTTCAATCAGATTTTAGTCATTAATCATTTCTAGACATGATAGTCTACCCATTTTAGAGGAAAGTCAAAATTAAGTCCATCTGATGCTTATATTCAAATATCCGATTATTTGGTACAGTTTAGAAATAACATGAATATTTTCCTCCTTAAATCTAAGTACTAAGGGCTGAAGAAACATTTTCCTTTGCTCTACCAAATGCAGCATGCACCTGCCTTCTTTGCAAAACTCTGGTCGTTGTAGACATTTGGGTTTTATGTCACTTGCAACAAATTATTAACTACAGTCATACATTCCATAAATGCATATGAACCATTTGCTCTCTGCTAGACCCACTTAAAGACTTTGTTTCAAACACACCTCTTCAACTCCTCCTATGACATTTGTTTTACAAAAGAAGAAAAAAAGTATTTTAGATACCTTTTTAAAAAGACTTGCATATTGTGAAAGACAACAAAATAGAGCAATCCCAATAATTAACTATAAGCATGTTGGTCATAACTTTGCTATATTCTAAAAAATATTAACATTTTTCTTGATACCCCAAGGCAATAAATAAATACTCACATGATGATTGCCCATTTTCGGTTTTCTGAGATAGTTCCTCTGTATTTTATTAAGAGAACAGTTCAACAGAACAACTTTACAATGATTTTCCCAGGGTATTATATCTCTTGAGCTTAATAAGTAACTTGGACATTAAATTTGAATATATTGATGGGATAACTAGGGAGTGGCAATAGTTACAAATTAGCTTAAACTAACCAAACTGTCTTGATAGTCCATCTTTTCAAAATAATATATTTATTAACAAATCAAATATAGGCTTTCTAAGTTTAATTACTAATTCACAACTAAAAAGCTAACTTGTATTATTTCTGAATTATTGAGTTTTCCTTTAACTTGGGTATTTATTTAAAACATCTTACTCTTGGTAGAGTGATAATACAGCAGGTAGGTTGCTTTACCTTGCATACAGTTGACCTAGTTTTGTTTTTTGGTTTTTTTTTTCTTTTTGGATCACACCTAGCGATGCACAGGGGTTACTCCTGGCTCTGTACTCAGGAATTACTCTTAGCAGTGCTCAGGGGACCATATGGAATGCTGGGAATTGAACCTGAGTCGTCCACCTGCAAGGTAAACGCCTTACTTGCTGTACTATCGCTCCAGCCCCAGTTGACCTAGTTTTGATCCCTGCTACTCCATATGGTCCTCTGGTCCCTGCCAGATGTGATCCCTGGGCGCAGAGCAGGAGAAAACCCTGAGCACTGCTGGGTGTGGCCCTATAAACCAAAAGTAATAGTGAAATATTATACCTTATAATAAACACATTACATAAACAGCAGTGAAAAAAATACTGTTTTATGAATATCACCAATATAAGGAATCTTGTTGTGGTGATGATGGTACTCCGGGCCCATGCACGCCCAGGATCCACCTCTGTGCCTCACACATGCAAGGCATGTGCTCAACCACTTGAACCACATCCCCATCCACCAGAGAATCTTTCTGAATGCTCCTTTGAGTTAACACAGTTTTTCTAATTTAACTAGTTTTTAAAATTTAAAAAGTATTATATGCAGATGGTATATTTTCCCTAATAGCATGAAAAAAATACACCATGAAAAGTCAATCCATTGACCTCTAGTTCCTTATGCAATATGTTTCTTGTTAGTTCTTACTGAAATGGAAGGTGCTGTGGTACCTGTACACAACATATCTGTCTCTCTCTCTCTCTCTCTCTCTTTCTCTCTCTCTCTCACTCCCCTTCTCTCTCTATCTCTCCCCTTTTCTCTCTATCTCTCCCCTTCTCTCTCTCCCTCTCTCTCTATCTCTCTGAGCAATGGCTTATTTTTCTCTCAACAAATGAATATGTGTTTTGCATTCTGTCCCATGCCTGTCTGCTTCAAATGCTAAAGATTTACATGATATTGGTAGATTTCTTCTTTGATGGCTTCATAGTAGATAGTTCTGGATAAAACCCAAACCTTATTCCATCAGTCTACTATTCAAACTAATTTAGGTTATAATAATTTTTTACATGAGTGCATCTTAATTTCTACCTCTATGTATATATGCATGTTGATCTGTAGAATAAAATCTTATAATTTGACCAAAAATCTTTCTGGTCAAACAGTACATGTTTTTGAAATTCCAAAGGATATCTCTAAGTTGTAAAATTACCAAAATTAAAGTAAGGCCCTCCCGTTGATCATCGATTTGCTCGAGCGGGCCCAGTAACGTCTCCATTGGAGACTTTGTTGTTACTGTGTCTGGCATATCGAATATTCTCGGTAGCTTGCCAGGCTCTCCGAGAAGGGCGGAGGAATCAAACTCGGATCGGCCATGTTGGCTGCGTGCAAAGCAAATGCCCTACCGCTGTGCTATCACTCCAGCCCAAACCACTCTGAAAGACCACCAGAACTGTGATGTTTACTATCAAAAGATAAAATATACAACCTGCAACAATAACACCCGGTGCTTATTTCCCCCTTGACTAGCCTAAACAAAACACTCTTAGACGTTGCCACTTCTACTAGTTTCAAAGATTAAAAAAGGGGCTATCTACTCAATGCCTCTTTTGCAAACCATAGCACCCAAAAGGAGAGAGAAAACAAAAGGGAATGCCCTGCCACAGGGGTGGGGTGGGATGTGGGGGGGTGGGAGGGATCCTGGGAACATTGGAGGTGGGGAATGGGCACTGGTGGAGGGATGGGTACTCAATCATTGTAAAACTGAAACCCAAGCACAAAAATCTGTAAGTCTACAACTGTACCTCATGGTATTTCACTAATAAAAAAATAATAAAAAATATTGGATTAAAAAAATATAAAAGGGGCTATCTTATTGTTTAATTTCATTCCTTTGTTTGGATATTCTTAGAATTAAATATTCCATTCCTTTCAAGACATTTGTGTGATTTTTTCCCTGTAGTCTGCTTGTTTTATTCTTTTTAAAAATTTTAATACTATTGATTTGTAACAAAACAAACTCTCATCTAATCTTGGATTTTGTCAGTAATAATTAATTACCTTTGAATTTTGTTTCTGTTTTGTCTATACTTATGTTTTGAATATGTATGTGAAGAAAGTATTAGTTTTATGCACTGAAATATACCACTGTTGACATTGCTTAGGGAAATGTCTCTGTATTAACATGACTGACAGTTTATGTACATTTTCATTGGGTGGGCTGGAGCGATAGCACAGAGGTAGGGTGTTTGCCTTGCATGCAGCCAGCCCGGCCAACCCGGGTTTGATTCCTCCCCACTCTCAGAGAGCCCGGCAAGCTACCAAGACTATCTCACTTATGCGGCAAATATATATTCAATATGCCAAACATAGTAACAACAAGTCTCAAAATGGAGACGTTACTGGGCCCGCTCAAGCAAAATCAATGAACAACGGGAGGACAGTGTTTGACAGTTTGTTTCATTGGGTTCTTTTAACAGCTTAACTCTAAAAATTGCTTTTCTCTGATACATTTGAATGAACTTTGGTTTGGAAGAAGGAAATAATTAATTCAGCTTTAGTTATGACTAACTGATCTTGGATTGTTATTAAATTATTCAGTTTTTCTCTTTTGGTCTATATGGCATTTTTGTTAAGTCTAAGATGGTATTCTTATTTGGTCTAAGATAGATAAATTCCTATATAGCATTGTCTTAAAATTTTGATTACATATGGTTATTCTTTTGTTCTTTATACCTTTATTGTATAAATTTAATCTTTATCTTGCCTATGCTGTCTGTATGTTTGGACTACCAAAGTGAACAAGATGAATATAAATTACTCTTCTTAGACATTATCATCAAATATGAACTATATAAGAAAGACAAATGCAAATAATTGTATAGGTTTTGAAGAAAATAAGCAAGATTCTGAAATGAGAAGCAACATATAGGTGTATATGTGTGATTGTGACTTATTTTAAGTAGAAACAAGATTCTTCAAGGAGTAAATTTAAGTACCAAAGGATGAAAAGGAGCCCATTGTTTCAAAAGAGAAAGGGCTGCAGATAAGAAGTTTTTAGTTTGTGCTAAGGCTCAGAAATATGAGAAATGTACAAATTAGAGGAAACAAAAGGTGTTAAAGACTGGTGTCTAATGCACACCAGACAAATGCTGAGTGTTGGTGGTACTGTGCTGTTGAGATAAAATTCTCTGGGAATTGACAGTGGAACTGGGGAGAAGACAGATAGATGGAAGTTAACTGAGGAAAACTGAGATGTGCTACTGTGTCTTGCAGGCCTCTCCTCTCATCCCCCCCACCCCATTCCTGGCATCTTCTCAGGGTTGACTCACCCCTGTCCCACCTCTGCACTGACGTTAGAAACCCCTCTGCATCACTACCCTCTCTTACACCCACCTAATAAGTTTTATCTCCCTCACTGCTGCCCCCACTTCCTGCCCCCCCCCATATTATTGGAAGATCAAAGTTCAGAAGGAATGGGTAATTTGGTGTACAACACTTGCTGTGGAGATAAGCTCTGTTGAGGGTGCCTTTGAGTTTCAGGGCGCAGGAAATGAATAGCTCAAGGAGAGATATCATTTATGGCTTCGGGGAGGCCAACCAGTGGAAGCTTAGAGGTTGACTAAGAGGTTGACGCCTTTAAAATTTTTTTCTGGATTGTCACCATGATACTCACCTCTGGGACTTTTTTTTTTTTCAGTCAGTTATCATTGATTTACGATATTGTAATATAGCTTGATATCTCTCTATGTATCTGTGGCTTACCACACCCCTCCCTCACCAAAGTTTCAGGGCCATCCCCTCTGTCCTACCCTTCTCATGCCTTTAACTCCATGACCACAGTAGTTTCACTGAGACTTGGAGTGAATCTTGTTGGTTTTTTAACTTTAATAATGCATATTCCACACTTGAATAAGATCATCTGCTGAAATTCTTTGACCATTCACCTAGCATAACCTCCTCATGATCTAACCATAAGGTTTCAAAGGTTTCTTTTTTTTTTTTAACTTCTGCGAAGTTTTTAAACTACAGCGGAGTTTTCTTTCTTTCTTTCTTTCTTTCTTTCTTTTTTTCTTTCTTTCTTTCTTTCTTGTTAAATTTATTTATTGAATCACCGTGAGAAAAGTTGCAAAGCTTTCAGGTTTAAGTCTCGGTCATACAATGATCAAACACCCATCTCTTCACCAGTAATTATTTTTCTCTACCAAGAACCCCAATATACCCCCCTCCCTCTGCTCCCAATGCCTGTGAGGCAGATGATTTCTACTTAACTCTCTCTCTACTTTGATTACATTCATTATTTCGACAAAAGATGCACCATTATTTTTTGGAATTCCCCCGCCCCTCAACAATCAGAGAATTTTCAATTGAATATACACCACTCCTTCTTTATCCAATATCTATTGATGGTCATTTTCATTGACTACTGTGACTAGTGCTGCTATGAACATCAGGTTGTAAATATCTTCTCTAGTGTCTTAATTTTACTTGGATAAATGTCTACAGATGGCATTGACACATCTTATGGCACATCTCATCGTTTTTATTTTTTAAATAAAATCTCCATGATTTTTCCATAGAGACTACATAAATTTACTTTTCCTACAATTC